CACCGTCAGTGCGCATGTCACAGTAGACACTGAAGTGTCCTCTGCCGTCTGGGTTGATAGAGTACACTCCGCTCTGAGTATGGCCTGATTTTAACAGTTCAGAACAATCTGACAAAATAAAAGCACGCAGCCAATTAATTTTTTATTTGAAATAATCCCAGTGATATTGCAGCTGAAATGTTATATAGAAAATTCCATCAAGCTTGAGATCACCTTTCACGCATACTGTAAGCAAACCAATTATAATCTAAAAATCAAAGCTCTTCGGGCGGGTTAGGAAATGACCTGAATTAAAGACGTGACCTTAGTATCCGAGAAATTGCAATCGTTTAGTTTTTAGTTCTTGTTCTCAGTTCTGGGTCTAGGAATATCATGAACTCGTAAAATATCTCTGTCTACATGACATACAGGCGCCTCAAGCTAACCATGTGAGGAGTTATTATTATTTTTTCAATCGTTTTTTTTTTCGTTTGTGCGAACGTTTAGCGGGGTGATGTTAGTTGCGATCAGGCCTTCCACATTCAAAAGCCACGAAAATGATCGTCGGAAATTGTGAAAAAAAATCTATTTCATGGAGCTTGGTTCAATTCATTTAACCCTTAAGAGGAAACAATTCCACTCTCATATTGGTAAGTGACGCATGACACTAGCCGGCTAATTGTAACATTACAGATAGAAATTATTCCTTGACCATTATTTCCTGTTTATTTTTGTGCTTCACTTGGAAAAAGTGTCCTGAAAGATGTCATATTCTGAAAACGACTGCGGAATTTAAAACGAAAAACCCTAAGCCGTGCTAAAAAACGATTTCCACCCTTAAAAGGTATGACTAGTATTGCCTCTAGTGCCATGTAAGAAGGTATCCTCTCGCACGGGATCAAGACCTCCCTCTGCCTTGAGTAAACGTACTGATTACCAGATAGACTCTCCCTTTCTTCGCCTCGCATTCTCTTTTACCGAATAAAGCAGGGTTTCGGAAGCAAGGACCCGTTTTGGGTAAATTGTTTTCGAAGTACTCGTTAAGTAGTGATCGTTTTCCCAACTGGACAAATATGATCGCAGGTTAGAGATACAATAAATAGTCAAACAAACATTGCAAATAAAACGTAGCTTGATAAGACTCTCATCTTATGGAAGACTGACCGATTGCCTGCTTACATCAACGTCGCCGAGAAGCTGTTGAGTTGGAACGATCCTTGCCGGTGGTTTAATCGGGGGATTTCAATTATAAACCTCTGTATTTCGAGTCCCGCGTCCTGAGCACCATTCACTAAGCAACTTTGAACAGAGGAAAAATATTTCCTTCAAAACCACCGGACAGACGAAGGGACTTAGCGCACTACTACTCTTTCTTTATAACAAAGAAAACCACACAATTTATAAGTTACCTATACTTCTTGCTAGAACTTCAACATCACTAATGGCCTCGATATCAAACACTCCTGCACTTGTAGCCACGCACACATATATTCCAGCATCCTTTTTTTTCAAATCTCTTAACACAAGTGCACTGTTTGTCCTGTGACTCCTCCCCCTTGTTTTTGCGCATAATAGAGATCGAGACAATCGAAGGATGGCAAACATATCTTTAACTTATACAGTGACTTTAATGCCAGAATTTTAATTCGTTAAGTGTCAATTTTTCAATCTGTTCTTCGCTCACACTGACGCCGGGAATATCATTAGAAGAAAGATCGACTTTTCTTCTTCGTTAGCCATGTTGCTTTGAATATTTACCGCGAGGGCTATTAAGCCTCGTTTCGGTGCAACTTCCGGTTTTTTTCTGGAATCGGGGTGTGGTAGCCACACTCAGGGAGCAGGAACTTGAGTGCAGCCTTGCTCTCTCTTTGTGACAAATGGGACACTCTAGTCATAACTTACCTCGCGGTTTTCTAACTTCAACATCACTTATTGTCTCGATATGGAACACTCCTGCACTTGTAGCCACACAAATGTAGTTTCCAGCATCTTCTTCTTTCAGATCTCTCAAGACAAACGCATCAGCTGTCTTGTGACTCCT